GAACATGATCATAAATATACGAGTAGGGTAGTAATAATAATTGACTAATTTTGGTTTTACACGGACATAATTCCTAATTGCTCTATCCGTTAGTTGTTCTCTCTCGTACTCCGCGTTTCGGAGCACTGATTCTTGTTCGAGCACTTCTTAGCGTGTCCGGTCGTTCCAGTTTAATTTCGCAGCGGGTCCAAGCTCTCCAAAGAAAAGTCATCAGTTCCGATGCACAGCCCTCTACTGAAACCGTCCTGAAAATTTCATTGCGCATTTTATAATCTATTCAGAGCGGGCACCGTTGAAGAATAAAATCACAGGTTTTCACCTTCATCTCCAGCAATCTTTTATCCAGCAGACCGATAGCGTTCTCCAGTTCCTGCTGGCTAGGATTGGTCACGGTCGAAGCTCCGAATTCTCCCATTTCGAACGGATCGTTACATTCGTTCTTCATATTTAAAGTTGGCGTGGGATTGAAAGGGATGCTACCGAACAGATCTTCCTTGAGTCCGTTCTGACGCCTCGAATCTTTCGTCTTTGGTGGTGGCGCCACTGTACAGAAAATGTAACAAGTTCAGCGATAAGTATAACGCGAGACAATCAATTTTAATTAATAAAGTGAGTATTTACATAAAGGCGGGGGGCTGATTGTGCCGTTAGATTGAGAGAAGAAGTTCGATCCCGAGGACAACTGACCATTAATGAGAGCATTGTTATTGGACTGATGAGTGGCAAGACCGTTGGCTGCGGTTTCATAAGCCCTCGGATTGAAATCTTCCTCAAACTCGTCCATCAGCAGCCCTTCCAATTTAGTGCCAACCGACGGCATTGGCGCTGGCTCGTTCCTGTAAAACGCAACGAACGTGTGAAATTCGAGAAATATCAAAGGTAAATAGAAACGGAACTTAAAATTGCAATTTGCAAACGTACCCCATGAAATCGTCGTCGAAACTCTTTTCGAAATTCCTCGGCGGAACCGGCGGCGGCTGCTGCGGTCCGTTGGACGTGTTTCCGTTGCTATCGCTGCCCGTGTTCAGCAATAACTTGCTCGTCGTGCCATTAACTTGCGGCGAGTCCGCCGGAGCTCCAGGTACGTGAAGAATGTCGGGCAGATTATGTTGCGACAGATACGCTGACACATCCGCCTATACGAGATTAAAAACAATACTGCAGACTCCGTTTCGAGAGGAGACAAAAAATATCATCCCGTAGAATATTCTCATTTTTTTGATTCTATCGAAATTATCTCAGCTCATTTATATCTAAGAATTTGCAATTGTATTCGAACTCTCACCGAGCCTTTAATAGCCGCGATATCTTGCAGCCGTTGCCGAAAAACATTGTTCTCGTGCTCCAGTCGCTTTATCTTTTGCTGCAGCACCATGCAGCGTCGCTGCGCCTCCAAATCCTTGCCAGATGTTTCCAGGAACCGCCTGTAGGCCAGATCGAAGGCCTGACCGATGGTGAGCGTTATCTCCTCGGCCAATTTGTCGCTGACGAAAACGAAGCATGTGTGCCTCTCCGCATCCTCCTCTTTCGCGATAAAACTGAAAAACTTCTTCTCTCCTTTGTCGTCGGCGCAGTAGGAAATTCTATGCAGCGGATATTGATGCATAATTCGCTGCAAAAGTAACCTTCGGTCAGGCCACACGGCGGGAGCAATCGAGCCTTGGATACACGCGAAGGAAGGAGGAGGAATTTTTGTCGTATAAGAATCATTTTTATCGCACCAACCTTGGGTGTCGTTTTTGTTTTTGGTTCCTGTATCGCCACGCCATCGATACTTATGGTAAGCTCGACCTTGGGAGTTTTCGTGCCCTCGCTCTTCTTCAGCTGCTGATTGAATTTCAGCTTGCAGATCGCCTCTTTCACCACTTCGATGCCTTTGGGTTGCTCCACCTCTGTGCTGCCCAAATACTAAAATATTTTAAATCATAGAAGGATGACGGAAAGAAAAGTCAGCCGGATATTCCTTCGTGTGCGCAGTTTGTTATAAAAATAGAAGGCACAAGAGAGAGAAGAACGGCGCGGCGTGGGAAACGCCGTGACGTTTGCAGGAAAAATGCACGCTCGGAACGTGACATGAATATACTTCTTTATTAACCACCTTTTTTTCGCGCATTCCACCGCAGCTTGCATATTTTTGCATTACAATCGTCATAAATCTTCCGCTTACGTTATGTAGCCACGTGTACGAAATCTCGCGTCAGAGTAACATTTGCGAGAGAGAGAAAAGTTTTTTAATCGCGTACACGCGCGGCGGAATCTAAATTAAACATCCCGAAATCGCGCGACAATTTTGTTTACTCGGCAAAAATTACAGCATGCGAATTGAAAGAAGATAAATCACCGATGAAAATAGACGATATTAATAGGCTTGGGCAAAAAGCAAACGGAAAAATTAAATATATATGAACAGGAAGAAGCAGTTAACGTAATCGATAATTAATGGAACTGCTCGCAGTCATCGCGATGTCGCGAATCGAACGAGCGAAAAAGAGCGGAAGCGTTTCGCAATGATATTTGAGAAAAACGACGTACATCTAACGGCTGTTTACGCCGCATTCCTTCTCTCATAGATAAAATATTTCCACGCTTTAATCTACTACGCACCGTGATAAACGTAATGCTTACAAATTGTACGATGTTATCACTTCATGATTACGTCTTGCGGCATAGTTTAACGATCCCGGGACACTTACGTCCGATAAAATATTTCTTCGGATGACGAAACTGTATCTGGATTACGCAAGTCTGACCTGACCGCATTTAAATCCGCAGTTGCGCGATGCAGTTTGACATAAAACTGATTTATCTCATTCGCTTCTAATAAAATAAAAGATAGAATCACTGTTCGCAGCACAAACGTCGTTTTCGTGGAAGCAATTTTTAATCCCTTTTGAGATGAAAATTAAAAAGCTCTCATCTGTTAAAGCGCGTTCCCAAAAATTAACTCCGCAAACTTTTATCCAAATCTGCGATTAGATCGACTTTATAATCGATCGACGCGAAATATGCGTCTTGTGTGCGGAGAAATTTCTTTCGAAATAAATATTGATAGACTAAATTGAATTGCAAAAAAAATCCAGCACGACGAAACAGACAATCCGGATACGATTCCGCTATTTCGCGATGTCGACACACGTCTCGTTCGTGAGATAGTGAAATCTCTGGCCGCTTGCGAAGTTTCGAAGTTCAACGAACTCGCGCGACGCGCGGACTCGTGTTCTCCCAGCAGTCGAACAACAATTCATCCGTGGTCGCGCTGGTATTTGTATTCAACGGGGAAACTTACATACGTGCCGGTAACAATTCGAAACGAAAGGCAGACGCGGGTGCGCTATTGCGCGTTACGCAACTTTTCCGGGTGACACGAAATGAATGAATCGCGCGGCGAATCGAACAAACGCTCGGCGCAAGTCACGGAGTGATGTTTTTTTTTTTTTCTTTCTCTATTTCGGTGCAAGTCACTCATAGATAATCGAAATCATAACCGGTTGGAAAGTGTAAGCCGCGGGCCGGTTTCGTCTTTATATTGCAGTCACTTTGTAAAGACCGGACATTACGCTCCTCCCGTCATTAAGTCCGACTTAGGCAATTCCGGTCATCTGCGACTTTCATTTTTCAGACTCGTGGTTTCCTCTGCTTATAACTCATCCGAATCTCTTTGACGAATCAATCGTTATAAATTTTTATGCCGCTGCCAAGTTTTCTAGATTCTACTTTCCACTAAAATTTATCACATTATTTTGGGAAAAATAATCTGCATCTTCAGGCGCTGAATGTAATTTAAAAAAAAATATAAGAATAATGATTCTATTTCTCAAGCAAACCGCCTTCCTTTATATCGTTCTTCCGCCAGTTATTGCTTAATAGCTGCCAGCAATTTCTCTGCTTTTTTTTCTCACACAGTGCGCACAGGCATTCGCGATGTCTTGTGTTCCGTCCGGCAAAGTAATCGGTTTAGCTTAATTACGTTCGTTAGCAGCGAAAGGTAATTAGGCGTACGCGCGTCGACAAATTCCACGAAAGCGTAATGTACACCCCGCTCCGGCGGGGTTTTCGCGACTTGATTAACCGCCGGAGATAAAACCAGGAAAAACAGTCGGAAAGATCTACGACACGCGCTACGACAGCCTCGACCTTTCGTTACGTCGGCTTCGAGATATCGAGAAGCGGTGCCAGGATGATGCTTGTCACTTTACTGCTGTTTGTCCCGCGATTTCACAACCGTGTGCCGCGACCTTGCCCAACGCAGCACGCAGCTATTAATCCAAAATATCTTGCGTTTCATTAGAATGCAGTGGTAAATTGTTCATAAGAATTTCAATTTTATTCGAATTTTCGCCGCACGTCTCAGTTTTAAACCCGCGGATACGAATTTCGGCAGAAATCGCGATTTACAAAAGCGATCTTCGCCAAAATACTTCGATGTGTTAAAATGAGTAAGTCACACATCGCTTACTTTCTCTGATACAAAGTTCTTTTTTTTTTCGTGGTGCAAAAACTACAACAAACATACCTTGACTAGGTAGGCGATGTGTCCTTTTTGGAGCGCGTCCGGTGGGTGTATCCAGTTCCTCGTTCCTGCGAACAAGGAGAGTCGCGATCAGCCCAGTGCCATATTTGCTAATACCAGTCGCACACGCTTCGGAGAGACAGGTTACTCACCTCCATTTTTATTCGGTTGATTTTTATTGTTCGTCGAATTCTGCGCCCATTTCAGTAGCGTCGAGTTCCTCATGTTGTCGGCTTGTGACTACAACCGACTTTTAGACCGACTGCAACATAAGAAGACACAATGATTAGAAAAATTTTCTCAATACGAATAATGAATAATTTTTAAATCGCATATTTTTAACATATAAATCAAACGGCCTGAATATCGGCTACTTTCAAATATATGTATATCGAATCGATCAGAAAGTTCCTTCGATGTTTCTCGAGAAAAATGAAAAGCGAAAATCCGAAGGAACTTTCCGATCGACTCAATAAATATGTATGATTAATGTATATCTAACGATGTAATTGCAAAATGTTTCACTTTTATTCAAATTTAATTAGACTGAAATGTCTTGTATTACTTTTAATGAAGCGTAATTAACTTCCTGATATAATGTAATTTTTATTTAAATACAATTTCAAGTGTAGTTTTTTCCCGCTCGTGTAAGATGAGTAATGATCGTGCACGTTGGAGGCCTGAAGATAAATTGCTTATAGAGATGTACGAGAGATTTAAATGCGCCGCTGGTCAAAAACTACCGGCGCAGTAGTTTTTTTCCTTTCCCTCGACATTTTACGAGGTAGAACGTGAGTTTTGGACGCTATCCAGGTTGCCATTCTCTTCCTCTTTCCACAATTTCGCGCGCGCGCGCGCGCGCCGAACCGATCGCCTCCCTCGCTTTGATCTATCTCGAGAAAAATCACTTTCTACGCTATCCGCGCGTTAAATCTCTCGCGATGCCGCGTACGACGCAAGAGCTATCACGCGTGTACGCGTCGCACGCGCGTGTCACCGAAGAGCTTTGCGATCAAAGAGCGCGTTCGCATTACGCCGCGGAAGAGAGCAGGATTACATCACATCGTGACGCTTCGAGGCAAAATCGTAATACGC